AAAACATACCATTGATACCTAGAAATTAAAAGAGTAATTTACAGTCTTAGGGCATGAGTTTCATTACAGTTCTCTTTCTCTATGGACAAATATTCTGTGCGTATTAGGAAAATATAATAGTTTTGGTCTTGGGCTAAGGACTCAGATTTTCTGAGCAATGCAGCTCAGGCACCTTTGTGATCTTGGGAGAAATTCTTAAATTTTTTTCTTTTTTTTTCTTTTTTTACCGAATGTATACTAAAAATACAAAAATTAGCAAGAGACGGGGTCTCGCTCTTTCTCCAGGCTAGAGTGCAGTGGCACGATCACGGCTCACTGCAACCTCCACATCCTGGGTTCAAACAATTCTCCTGTCTCAGCCTCCTGAGTAGCTGGAACTACAGGTGTGTGTCACCATGCCCAGCTAATTTTTGTATTTTTAGTAGAGACGGGGTTTCACCATGTTGCCCAAGATGGTCTAGATCTTGTAACCTTGTGATCCACCTGCCTCAGCCTCCAAAAGTGCTGGAATTACAGGCATGAACCACTGCACCCAGCCTTAAAATTTCTAAGCCTCAGTTTCCTTATCTATAAAATGGGGATTAGAACAATAACTAGTGCCTGGGATATTGTTGTGGGATACTTTGTACCAACAGTATTCTATAAAAATATAATGCAAACCACATACGTAGTTTACATTTTCCATAGCTATCTTTTAAAGGTAAAATGAAATTAATTTTAATATGTCTTATTTGACCCAGTATATCCAAAATGTTATCACCTCAACATGCAGTCAATAATAAAACACATATTAATGAGATATTTTACATTCTTTTTATTCATATTGTTTTCAAAATTCAGCATGCACTTTATACTCACCAGCACAGCTCCGTGTGAAGCGGCAGTCATGTGCCACGTAATGATGTTTCAGTTTACAGGAGACTGCATGTGCAAAGGTGGTCTCATCAGATTGGCATACTGTGTTCTTACTCTGTCTTTTCCATGTTTAGATGTGTTTGGATGCCTGACACTTACCATTGTATTACAGTTGCCTACAGTATTCAGTACAGGAACATGCAGTATAGGTTTGTAGCGTAGGAGCAATAGGCTATACCACAGAGCCTTGGTGTGTGGTAGGCTGGACCATCTGGGCTTGTGTCGGTACACTGTATGATGTTTGCATGACTACACATTTCTCAGAACGTACTCCCTTTTTTAAGTAACACGTGGCTGTAGTTTAGCCATACTTAGCATTCAACAAATGTTGGCAAAATTATTGTTATGTATTTTAAAACATCAAAATTTGGGTTGACAAACATTTGTACTGCACATTTGTGTATTTTGCCATGTGGGAAGATGCCTCAGATAAGATGCCTCAGAAATGTTTTTTTTTTCCTATTTCAAAAGAATAAAGGGTTGACTTTAAGAGTTCTTCACTGTTTCCTGCAAGCGGGCCTCCCTGGGTTTCAGAGTGAGGTCAGTGTGGTGGTTTATGGTCATCTTTTCTTTGGGAGGTGGGAAGGGGAAACTGAATGTGCCTCAAGTATTGCGTGCCTGTCTCTGTTTTTTGGCTCTTCTCTGTTTAATTATTTGGAACTGGAACAACTTGATTTTAAAACAAAACATATGGTCTGAGAGTAATTGGGAGGACATTTGCTAGTGATGTAGCACTGAAGGTATGCATCAAGTTGAGGCCCAGGCTTGCACCACTTGCCTGCTTAGGTATTGAGTGTTTCCCTTGTGTTCTTTTCTCCCCCAATTCTTAAACCCTTGTTTGGAAAGTCATAGTCAAAGCAGAAAATATGGGAGCAAGATTATAACAGAAATTGTCTGTGAGTATTCTTTAAATCCCTACTTTTTTTCTCTCTCCTCTTTATGGAAAACCATTGGTTTCCAAGCTATTTATATGGCTCGTGAAAGAAAAACATCACAAAGTGCTAAGAAGAGAGAGGAAAACTTTATTTAAAAAGGAGACCGTGGGCCAGGCGCGGTGGTTCACGCCTGTAATTCCAGAACTTTGGGAGGCCGAGGCGGGCAGATCACCTGAGGTCAGGAGTTCCAGACCAGCCTGGCCAACATGGTGAAACTTTATCTCTACTAAAAATACAAAAATTAGCTGTGCGTGGTGACAGGCGCCTGTAATTCCAGTTACTTGGGAGGCTGAGGCAGGAGAATCACTTGAACATGGGAAGCGGAGGTTGCAGTGAGCTGAGATCGTGCCATTGCACTCCAGCCTAGGAGGGACGAGCGAGACTTCGTCTCCAAAAAAAAAAAAAGAATGTGGACCCCCACCATGGAATTTCTCTGTTCTTCTGCTTGATTCCATTGCTGACACCAAAGTGGGAAATTTTCAGTTCCACAGCCAATTCTTATGTGAAGGCAACGTTTTTGTCTCTGCCTTTTGCACACCCCTTTGCTTGCTGGGGGAGGAATATATGATGTGCTGATGATGTGTCATGTAATTCCAGCCTGAATGCCACAACTTTTTGAATCATGGGGGCAAAGTGGAATTTATCAGGACTTGTGAGAACATGTATTTCTCTTGCTCAAGTTTCTGCTTCTCTACTTAGAAGCTGTGTGCCTCTGAGCAAGTTATTTCAACTCTCTAAGCCTCATTTTCCTCTTTCCTAAAAAGGGGATAATAATAGTGCCTATTTCAGAGTAAAATTGTTGTGAAGTTTAAAAGAGACGTTGCACACAAAGCGCTAAGCACAACGCCTGGCAAGTAATAAAAACAAATGGCAGGAACATGTCCACCCCATCAGCAGCAGGAGGGACAGTGAATACTGCATCAGGGAAAATAACCAAACATTTGTCTGTGAGGAGCTTTGGCACTGGAAGTTCCAGTGGGTTGGGTTTGATGTCAATGTGTTGAAGTCAAAGCCTTAACTCTGTGCTCCCATGCCTCCTAGGTCTGATGGGAGTCGGTACACTCACTTGTCAGTGGTTCTCTTTTGCCCAGCACCTATAAATGTGAGAGTAACACGCTGAACTGTTTTATTTTTGTTTTACAGCGTCCCAAGTACCTTTGAGTCATTCGGGGATTCACTTGTTGTTTTCGATCTGAAATATAAAATGAAATAGCACTCTGACCAGGGCTCAGCACGGTTTTTCTGTTGGGATATTGAAACGAGAAATCTTTCTGAACACTTTCCAAGCAGCCCCCATGAGAGCAAGGGGTAGGAAGAAAGGGGTCTTTGGTTATTGCCAAATCAGACATGCTTTTCTGTATAGGCCTCAGAATGTATTGCGTATTGTCCGGCTTCAATGTCAGATGAGTGTCCTTCGGGAAGATCTGCTTTTAAAAACACCACCATGTTTTCGGAGTAGCTGATGGTCTTTTGTCGGTCCCCTTTTCCTTCTGCTCCTGCCATCTGTCTGAGTCCCATTCAGAGTTCTTAGCCATTGCTTACAAACTATCAGGAACTCCCTGCTGAGAGTGGTGAAGCCCTCACTCAGTGGGCAGGTCTCAGATTTCCCTGGAGCTATAAAAAATAGCCATCCTCACTCGTTTTTCTCTGTGTACCCCTCTCAGTGGACCACTTTCCCCTTATTAACCTAAGATGTTAGAAAAATAAACAGTATGCTGCCATCAGACTGAAACTGCTTGTCTCTTTTCCGTGTTTGGAAAGGAAATTCAGAATTGCTGTTGATAATAAAGATGAGGAATAAGCTATGTCTTTACTCATGCCCAGTGACTCCCAGTCCTGATCGTTGAGTTCTTAGTGGGTGGACAGCCCTGTACAATGTGTCATCAAGTCTGTGTCACCCCAGTTACGAAACACATCGTTATTTTCTATATCAAGGGGGGAAAACAAATGATAAGATACCATGGATTTTAAGATACATCCCAATTTTAGATGTGTTAAAATATGGGGAAAATATGTGTATTTTATAGCAGATGGAATACAGAGAGAATTAATTAAAATGGAAAGCCCTAGTCTGGGAGTGGTGGCTCACACCTGTAATCCCAGTATTTTGAGAGGCCAAGCGGGAGGATTACTTGAGCCCAGGAGTGTGAGACTAGCCTGGGCAATATAGAGAGACCTTGTGTCTACAAATAATTAAAAAATGAGCCAGGCCTGGTGGCATGTGCCTATGATCCCAGCTACACAGGAGGCTGAGGCAGGAGGATCGCTTAAGCCGGGGTGGTTGAGGCTGCAGTGAACTGTGATCGAATGACTGCATTCCAGCCTGTGCAACAAAGTAAAACCCCATCTCAAAAACGAAACGAAACAAAACAAAAAAGTAAAATGGAAAGCCCTCCTGGTTATCACCTGTTCCCCTCTGTCATCCCCCAATTCCTCAGCACAGCTACGTGACAGAACGGTGAGATGTGCTTCTGCCTTGGGGCTAAATGTGTAACTCAGTCCCGAGTGTTGTGTACCCCGCGTAATGCATGCAGTTGTGGAACTGAATGGAAACCAAGAAGGGTGGTGGGAGGTCCTCTGAACTAAAATTTACACAACTGAACTTTCTGAAAACAGAACTTAGGAATTTTCTTTGGGTTACATTGATAAGATTCGTGTTAACTTTCGAAGGCATGAGCAAGAGTTGTGGAGGGACATTGGAGACCCTACGTGCCCCTCGCTGACCTGACGCATTTGTAATGGCTCCGTGCTGAAGAGAAGATCCCAGATCCTCTAAATTCATGCCTCTGCTTATCCATTTCTAGTGACCGCAGGCCTCAGATCCGTGGGGAATCTGCTTCCTCCTCTACCCTAAAAGGCAGCATATTAAACATTATTGATAATTTCATTGTACTCAGGATTGTACCTAATTATTATTATTCATAATCTGAATGACTTCTAAGCAATTGTGTGTCTCCAGCCCTTCTTAATGCTGTAAAAATTTTAAGCAGGGGGATTATGGTATTTATTTTCCTGGTAAAGGTGAGTGCTCACATTTTAGGAAAAGCTGTTTCTCACCCAGGTAAAGCAACAAAAGAATTGATCTAAAACTTTCTTCTTTTTATTAGCGGCATTTTGCCTCATAGTTACGCTGCTTTCTTTCTTTTTCAGTTTTTGGGAATAACGTTTCTTGGAATTGGACTGTGGGCATGGAATGAAAAAGTAAGTTGAATATCATGCAAATGCACAGATCGTGGTTATTAGAGGCTGCACATCATATTATGAATTATTCCCCTTTCTCTTTGACAACCACAGAGTATAAACGTGGCTCTTTAACAAGAAAAAGTGTTGGTGGAAGATTAATGTTGTATTCTCAAGGACTCTAGGAATTGTGCCTAAATTGATCACTGCATCGAAATAATTACTGACGTAACAATGCAAGTGCTCAACAGAGAAGGTACCTTGGAATTTGATCAGTTAGCCAAAGATCAATGTTCCTATGGGATACTTTCTGTACAAGAATTCCAGTAATGATTATAAATATAACTAAACCATCTGTAGCCTTTTTTCTCTTCTGCCTTTTTTTTTTTAACCCTTTGGCAGATAAGCCAAAAAAAAACCATTTTTTTTTAGTGTGAGTGTTATGTGATAAACTGTTAGCATGTGGAGTGAAGGAAGTGGGATATAAATTCATGTTTGAGTATCAAATACACTCATCATTAATGTAAATAATGGGGACATTTGGATGCTGGTCGCAATTATTAAAAAATATTCAGTTTATGATCAAATACAGTATAATAAAAGGAAAATCTGGAAATACAGAGTAATCTATTTGACAGTGAAGATACAGTGTTCTGGGAGGTTTCTGCTGTTTTCTCTACAACTCCCCCTACTGAGGCCACCACTGGAATTCAACGATGAATATAAATCCCCCCCTCCTTTTTCCTTCCTTCTTTGCAAGTGAAATCATTTGCAGCATTTTATCTATCCTTGTATCTGGCTGTACACAAAAGCTTTCTTATCTCCCACCTTGTAAGGACAAGGGGATGTACAGACTGTTTAAAAGTGGCCATAGACTAAAATTTAACTTAAATTTTCCCAGAAGACCATTCTTTGATCTCGTAGGTATTTCACCCTCTAGCCTGACCCTGGCCTGACGCTGAGAGTTCCTTTGAGGTGGTAAATGCATTAAGAAAAGAGAGAAAAACTAGGAAGGTCCAGTGAACAAAAGCCCCTCAGAGGCCAGTAGCCATTTCCACAACTGAAGCAATGTTCAGGCAGACCATATAAAGCAAAACGCAAAGCAAATCCTGAGTTTTGAAAATGAACCCTCCTCTATTTATTTACAAAATGCTTCTACAGAATGTAAAAGGTTTTATGGAAAATGAACCACTTTTTGGCAACCAGAGTAACTGAGGCTTCCTGGAATTTTGAGGCAGGGCAGTGATTATGTATGAGGTGAGACAAATTAAGTTCCCAAGACAGAGATAATTTCATCTCCAGAAACTTTTACATTGAATATCAGTTGGTCTTGTCTTGGATTATGATTAACTTTTGCCTCAAACTATTGTGAGCTTGGAGATTTCTGGAATCTCAGAAGTTGGTCAGATGCCAGATAACACAGCTTTTTATAACTCCTTTAATAAGCGTCCATTTCTATCTGCTTTGAAAAAGTGCTGGAAGGCAGCAAATGAACTAATTGTCTGTTCTAGCAATAAACAGCAGTTGGTCGTTTTGAAGTTTTTTTAATTTTCTCTTTATGAAATATAATTATCCTTTTGTTTCATCAGTTGCCTCAAATGTCTCTTCTCTGATAAAATCGCAAACGTCTAAAACTGGCAGTGTCATACAGATATCAGAGCAAGGGGGTGAGGCTCTTCAGGGAGGGATGAAATAGCAGTTCCTTTTTTTGTCAGAGCCACCATCAGCCAATAGAAGATTTCTCTTGAGATCCAAAGTTAACCTGGCCAAGGTCACCCAGCTCTATGTAGCAGAACTCCATGCGCTGGGAGCAAGTAGAGGCAGTGGAGGGTAAAGTGGGTTTTAGCCATGTACCAGCCCAGTGTGGTGAGTGCTGGCCATGTGTCTGGGGCCTGAGTGTGGGGAATACGACAGTGAGGGGTACAGAGTCCCTGCCTCATGGGGCTTACATTCTAGTGGGTCACTAACGAGAAGCAGTGCTGGCCAAGTGTTTGTCCAGGTACTGGTGAGTGGTCGCAGGAAACATCAAGTTAGAGAGTGGTGGGAAAAGGCGTCTCTTTTAGATGAAGTAGTTGCAGACAGCCTCTCTGAGGAGGTGGCATTGCAGTAGAGACCGGGATGAACTAAGAAGGATCTGCTGGGTATTGGGGGAAGAGCATTCCAGGAAGAGAGAATAGTGAGTGCAATGGCCCTGAGGCAGGGACTCTGGTGATTCCAGGGAACAGCAAGAAGGCCAGTAGGCCTGGAAGGGAGAGAACGAGGATAAGGAGAGGTAGGGTGTGTTACCAGGTAGAGGCCAGACTGGGCAGAGTCCTGCAGAATTTTGGACGTATTCTAGGTACAAGAGGAAGCCACATGAGCATTTTGATAAGGGAGTATTCTGAGAGGACTTTTTTTTTTTTTTTTTTTTGAGACGGAGTCTCACCCTGTCACTTGGGCTAGAGTGCAGTGGCGTGATCTCAGCTCACTGCAACCTCCGCCTCCTGGGTTCATGTGATTCTCCTGCCTCAGTCTCCTGAGTAGCTGGGACTACAGGTGCGCACCACCACGCCTGGCTAATTTTTTGTATTTTTAGTAGAGACGGGGTTTCACTATGTTGGCCAGGCTGGTCTCCAACTCCTGACCTCAGGATCCACCTGCCTAGGCCTCCCAAAGTGCTGGGATTACCGGCATGAGTCATTGTGCCTGGCCCAACTTTTGTTTTAAGATCACTCTGGTTGCTGGTTGGGAAAAGAACACAGCTTTGCAGCTTTGCTATGGGCTGAATGTTTGTGTCTCCCCACCCTGCCAAATTAATATGCCGAATGAGGCCCTCATCCCAATGTGATGATATTTGGAGGTGATGCTTTGGGGGAGGTAATTAGGTCATGAGGGCGGAGCCATTATGAATAGGATTATTAATGCCCTTCTGATAACAGAAGAGACAAGGAAGAGTATTTCTCTCTCTGCCAGGTAAGGACATAACCAGGAAGAAAGCCCTTACTAGACACGGAATCTGCTGGCACCTTGATCAGGGACTTCCCAGTGTCCAGAACTATGAGAAGTAGATGTTTATTGTTTAAGTCACCCACTCTATGATAATGGTTATAGCAGCCCTAGCTGACTAACACAGGGCTAAACAGACTTGAGTTCAAATACTGGCTCCTCCATTTACCATCTCATCTGTGTGATGTTGGCCAACGGAGTTAACTTCTCCAAGATGCTGTTTCCTTGTTTGTGCAATTGGTATGCTATTCTCACCTTACAGGATTGTTGTGAAGATTAAATGAGACCACACTCCGTACAGTGTCTGCTGTAAGGCAGATGCCCACTGGAGACAGGGCTCCCTCCCCTGGAACCATGACCATAGGCTGTCCACTCTTACATGGGGCAAGAGCACAAAGGTGGCTTTGAAAGCGACCTCAAATTTTAGGAGTTTCAGGCTTTGATCCATGGACCAGAGAATTGGTTTTGTTTTGTGGTCTCTTGAGGAGCATGTGAAGTGCGTTAATCTCCTCGGTAACTGCAGATCTCAAAGCCCTTTGGGTTAATTTCTGAGTTGGGCCAGGCCTCTGCTGAGTGAGACAGTGTAGTGGACACTGTGCACCCGCTGAGCTGACACCACCAGCCCATGAAGCACTACATCCCCCAGACCCAGATGTGTGACATTTACTTATAAGAGGCCTGGAGGGTAAATCCCCAAACTGGATTGTGGCTGCAAGGATGAGATTTCTAGTGGAAGAAACAAATTTTCTTAGCAGATAGAACTTTCAACATATTTATATGAAATATAGAAGCATTGGAAGCAAAAATTGTTACCCCTCATACTTAGTATCAGTTTGAGTTTTAAACCCAGGGCTAATGTTGCAGTTCCACACTAGACATAATAATTTCAAGAATTCATTTTGTCTGAGTTTCAAATCAACTGTAAAGATACAAAGGATAACTGTGTCTCCAGGGGAAGCTGATTTATGTGCAGTTGTTCAGAGATCGTAGGATCTGCTGTTTGAAAGGAACATTAACAATTATGTGACTTGAATTACCTCCACAACACCCTTGAAACACCCAGTCACAGTCAACTCATTCATTCAAACAACATTTATTGAGCACATAGCATGGGCTGCGCTTGTGCTGAATTGTAGGGAAATGTGGATGAAGTGATCTAGTTTCAGTCCTCATGGAGTTTACCCAGTTGTAGGAAACGTATGTGTATATACATAAAATAATACATTGCATTAAATGCTACTTAGGGGTATATATGCGTTTAATGGTTCCCACAGCAAAGGACTCACCATTTCTGCCCTTCCTGTTGGAAAGACCTTCCTTCCACCAAATTAGAATCATGTCCCACTAGTTCTCACTCTCTGATTCTGGATCTACCCTGTTGGATCCCACAGAATAAGTCCTTCCACATGTTAACCCAGGAGGTATGTAGGGTGAGGGCCTGGTTTCTTCTGAGTTTCCAAGCTAAACATCTGCTGCTCTCTAGGTGGTCCTCGCAGGATGCGGGCTGGAGTCCCTTGTCCATTTTGTTGGTGCTCATCTGGCCCAGCTCTGGTGTCTTCTGCACCAGGTAGAGGAAGCTTTGTGGGCTGTAGAGAGTATGGTTGGATTGCATCCTTTCTCCTCTCATCAGTGCAGCTTGGGATCCTCTGTAGATCATTGTATCTGCAGCTCACTGAGAGTCCCAAGTTGGTTGCACATCCAACTGGTTATCCCATACAACTCACCTATGGCTGATTTTCAGAGGCAGCTGCAGGATTCCACAATGACAGTGGTATTTCAGCCCACCTCTCCACCTGCTGAGACCCCTTAAGACCTTCCTTTAGCTTCTTCCCCTTTCTGCCCAGCTTGGTTTCAGCTGTACATTTTGATCAGCCTCCTCCCTTTATTCCTTCTGCTAAGTCAGACTCTCCTTTTGCCCCACCATGCCACCCGGAAAAATTCTGACTCAGTAGGTCCAGGGTAGACACTGGGATGCTCTATTTTAACAAGCCTCCTAGATTGTTGTGACTGCAGTCAAGTTTAGTTATCATTGATAA